CTGCTCCCCTCCCCATCTCCTTCCCCCTCCTCCCAGCCAACTCTTGTGCCTCTTTATTGCTTAAGCAAAGGCAAAAAGGGAGATGCTATGATCAGAAAAGGAAAGAAACCAGAAGTGTGTTAGACTGAGTCTCTTGAGCTTTGATCTTTTCCTTTAGAGATGAGCATTGTTTTTTCCAAATTTAGCATTCAAATTTGCTTACCTATTTATTCCTAAATTTTGTGTTTCAATAAAATGCAAACTGCAACTCCCTAATTTTTATAACCTCCAGGCAAACACCCCCTTTAAAAGGCATCTTTTTCCTAGAGCATAATGGTTTGCAAATAGAATTCAAGATGCCTTTTAATAAATATAGTTATTTCTTCCAACCTCCCCTGTTTAACATTGATCTACTCCCCATAGTAATTTATAAAGGGAAGTAAGGAAATCCAGACATTATAATAAACTACAGTGTCCTGGCTCCATTTATTCTAGTTCATGTTCCTTTAATGTCTCTTCTTTTTCATCTACTTCAGCGGACATTTATGGAGCATCTACATACCAGGCACCAGGCTTAGAACAGAATACAAGAAAGCCAGGCCTGAGTTGCTCATAAGTTAGAGAGAGGGTGAGAGCGAGAGGCAAACAAGAAAAATGCCCTCCAAGTGCCACCACACAGGGAGTGCGTTCAAGGTGCAGTGAGCCTGGAGGAAACAGTTCCTAAATCCACCCAGGGAGTGGTGGGAGGGTCCGAAGGGCTCCAGAGAGGCTATAATTCTTCAGCTGGAACATGGAGGATGAACAGGAGCTGGCCAGGTGGACAAGCTTAGGTGGGAAGGGGTAAAGAGGGTCAGGAGAAACTGCATTTACCAAGACTCGGTGGTGAGGAAGGACCTTGTGAGTTTGGAGAATTACCGGGAACTTGGCCAATGTCAGGTACCCAAATGTGGAGTACCCAAGGATGAGGCCAGGCAAGGCGACAGGCACCAGTTCCTGAGGGACCTTCTGCAAGATCCACAGCAGTGCTTTCGAGAATGGCATACCATGACTCAGAACTCCACTTTCGTTCACACTGGAATTTTATTCAACCAATGTTGTAACTTATGATCTGTGAACTTTTTGGTTATAGATTGAGGGAGCATTTATCCAAGGCATGGGATTATATACCATAGAAGAATTGAAATATTCCCCAGAAGGTGTGCTTTACTCTCGGGGTCCAAGTGACTACAAAATTCCCACTGTCACAGAGATTCCAGAAGAGTTCTATGTCACTCTAGTGCATTCCCGAAATCCCATCGCCATCTACTCATCCAAGGTAAGAACGTAAGACCTCCGTATTACTTGGCCAGGTCGGCCTTAACAAAATGCCACAGACTGGGTGATTCAAACAACAGAGATTTATTTTCTCACAGTTCTGGAGGCTGAAAGTCCAAGAACAAGGGGTTGGCATGTTGGTTTCTTCTGAGGACTCTCTCCTCCTTCACATGGTCTTCCCTCTTGGTCCAAACTTCCTCTTCCTATAAGGACACCAGTCATATAGAATGGGTCCCAGCTGAATGACCTCATTTTAACTTAATCATCTCTTTAAAGACATTCTCTCCAAATACAGTCACATTCTGAGATTCTGAGGATTAGGAGTTCAACATATGAATTTGGATGGGGTCAGAATTCAACCCATAACAACTTCCCCTTTCAAGAAATTGTGAAACAATCCCCTGAATTTGCTCTCTCCTTTGAGTTGTAAATCCCGAAAGGTAGAAAGGGAAAAGAAAAGCAAGTTTGTGACAGAATGAAGCTCAATGACTCCAGAAACCAGAGTAGGGTCTTCGTGCTTGAGAGAGATCATGAAAGGAATTTGAATCAAACAAGAAGGGTCAAGAAGGGGCTGCACATCTTGGCTGGTCA